TGGTCTTTATTGTTTGGGCTATGTCACTCCTAGTGTCATCTTCCCTATTGGTCTTTGATATAAATTCCAATTTTTTATATTCTGTTAGCAACTTTGACATTGAGACCACACAACTTACTTGGAATCATACTGACTAGATGCTCAAGAAAATTATTGATACTCAACCGAGCTTTTGAAGCTGATACAACAAATTTGAATCGTTTTGGTGCAAAACCTTTTGTCTTATATCCTAGCATCAAGAGTATAGTCATAAGTGTTCATTGGGCTAATATATGTATGTGCTCAATTTATTGTTGATGAAAGCTTTTTATCCTTCAGGCTTTTGCTTCAGTATTTCAATGACATTGTTTATCATTGCACTTTGCTTATGCTTGTTTAAACCATTTATATGTCCAAGATAATTGCTATTGATTTCATATTAAATTTGTGAAATAGTTTTACTCATTGGAAGATTATTCTACTATTGTGCATGCTTCCTCTTGTAGAGCATTTATTGCACAAATGTATATAGCCTCCTGGTTTCATATCTCATGAGCATTACGATGATGACATTGTTCATTGGACTTTTCAGAAACAAGGAAATAATGTTGGCATCAGGAGTGCTACCAGTGTTGCAGGATATGATAACAACTAAAGATTCTATAGGAGCTGCAACAGCTCTTTACCTGAGTCTTTCCTGCCTTGAAGAGGCAAAGCCCGTCATTGGATCATCTGACTCTATCCCTTTCTTGATTCGGATCCTCGAGTATGAAACCGGTGTACAATGTAAACTTGATGCCCTTCATGCCCTCTATAATCTCTCCAGTCATTCCACCAATATACCCATCCTCTTGTCAGCTGGCATTATTCATGCCCTCCAAGCTCTTAGTATCCATTCAAGCGATCATGCCTGGATGGAGAAATGCATAGCCCTTTTAATAAATTTAGCTTCAAGTCGAACTGCAAGAGATGAAATCGTACTGGCTCCTAGCCTCATTAGCGGACTTGCAAATGCTTTGGATGTTGACGAGCCTATTCAACAAGAGCAAGCCGCAGCGTGTCTTCTGTTATTATGTAAGGGAAACGAGAAGTGCGGTCAAGTAGTTCTTCAAGAAGGGGTGATCCCTTCCCTCGTCTCAATTTCAGTAAACGGGACCATGAGAGGGAAACAAAAAGCTCAGAAGCTTCTGATGATGTTCCGTGAGCAGCGACAGCAGGACCCATCACCAGTCCCTACTCAGCAGAAACCTGAAAGCGACGAGATGCCCTTACCCGATCAAGTTTCAAAGCCGTTAAGCAAGTCGATCTCAACAAGAAAAGTAGGGAAGGCATGGAGTTTTTGGTGGAAGAACAAGAGTTTTTCAGTATACCAGTGTTAAAATGGGCATGACCTTTTTTTCTCCAGTTAGCTCTGTAAATGTCTGCTGTATTATATTTACGTGTTTTCTGCGCTATAGACGGGCATTTGCTTCATTTCAACATCTCGTGAATGAGATGTACAGGCAGGTCCCGTTGATCGTGTTTGTCTCGCCTACATGCATCACTGGGGTTCCATGTGTTGTTACTGGTATAAATATGATAGGTCTCACGTTAGGATGTAAGTTAAGCTAAACGCATATGTGAATATCTTGTATTATGGACACTGTTATGGATTAATCTTTTGAGAAATAGTTCAAAAAGCGGTAACTTATTTATGTCGTAATTTTTCTAGAGTTATGGGTTCTTCTAACTTGTTGCAATGTGGTAAAAAAATATGTTGAAATACTTATTGACAAGAAGCCCGTCTAGCTCAGTCGGTAGAGCGCAAGGCTCTTAACCTTGTGGTCGTGGGTTCGAGCCCCACGGTGGGCGTTTTATTACCGTTTTGCTCTATTTTTTTTCCCCTCTTAAATTGTACAGCAAATACAAGGGAAGGTCAATCTTAAGGCCATAACAGCCATAAAACTATTCAAAATCCGGACGGACTATTTTGATGAAAATCATTTACATTATGAGATGGACTGAAGTAAAACTACTTCATTCTCTGAGACTTACTGTTTCCTCTTTCTTCTCCAATCCAGTATTCAGTAATTCTGCTAATTATTATGATTCAAAGATTGTTTCTCTTGCTTTTATGTTAACCCATCTTGCATATAGTAAACCTGCATCATTATTGTTTCCATGTTATAGACACATATTTAAGTTTAGGATCTTACTATGGGTATATGGAGGTTTACATGTTGGTTGACACGGCTCACCTCCCCTCTCACGTGGGGAGGTCAGCTCCACACATTTGGACGGGAACCCCAACCTCTCCCATCTGAGAGGTCGGGTGGGACCGTGTCAACCAACAAGTACAAATGGCATAATCCTTCATTTTATAATAAGGTGCGTGCTGATTACAAAATAATGAACTAACATGCCCCACACCCCTAATCGTACCTTGAGCACATACACGTCGAACAGCTGAAAATTTATGCTGTTTATCTCTTCAAAATTTGAAAGCAGTCATCGGGCTTCTTCAACTATGCTTCCCCTTTCTCTGAGTATTCAATTCAAGGGCCGACTCGCCTCAAATAGTTCTAAAATTTCCTGTTTTCGTTTGCTCCCCTCTCAAGAATTTCGTCATTAACTGCACTTCATATTATCTGATTTGCCCTTTTCGCCAAATGACTTCGCTTCATCTTGTGACAAAACGGACAATGGAGATGAAGTTGCCGACTCAAATGAAGAAGTACATGGAGATTCATTGGGACAGAATGTTGCAAAAGTTTTAAATTTCAAAATTATTATATTTTAATTTTCAGTTTTGGTTTAATTAAAATCTTAATTTATAATATTACATACACTTAAATATTGAGGAGGTTATGAATTGACTTAATTTTCATTAGTGTCGGGGTTTAAATTGTACACTATAAAGAGGGGGGACACAACATAAAAATCACAAATTTTGAGATACAACTAGAAACACAACTTTAGATGATTGAATCCAAAAATATTCTCTAAAAATTTATATTATACTATTTGGCAACTAGATGAGAAGTTTGTTCACTTATCACTCTATGGTCGTGCTCATAAAATGAGAACCGGCTCTAAGCCACATGAATTTTATCTTAGAGTCGTGCAGTGTTGAAAGAACCCGCACGAAGGGGAGGTAACACGACTTTAGGATGTCGTCTTAGACGTGACTCCCAATGATTGCTTTTCTAACCCTCTTCTTATTTCATATTATTGTTGAATTATATTTATGTCATTTAATTGATTATTCTAATTGATAAATTTATCTACACACAAATCACCAATTTTTCCAACACAGAATGCTACCTCGACTGTTTTACTCCGGTGTTCTAACATTTGGTTTAACTTGTTCGGTTTGCACACCATTTGAAGTTTCATTACAAATACCTCGTTGTGAATAATCTAGAGGGTAACAATCTGTTGATTCTGATTTGCTGCAATTCATATCAATTCTGATCTCCTTCTCCCTTGTGTTATTATAATTATCCTCGGATCTCCAAAGAATTAATGCGTAAGTTGACCATGATATGAGCCGGTGCTCAAGTACAGGAAGCGCCTTCAAAACACGGTTGACGTTTTCTTGGCAAAAATTCAGCAGTGTAATCTTGTTGAACAA